TTGTCTAATCCAATGAACTTTTGTTCTTCCCACATACAACTTATTGTGTGTAAGCATCCACATATCAGAGAGAACATTTGAACTTTGGATTTTGGTGAATTGGCTTATTTCACTTAGCATGATAGTCTCCAGATCCATGCATTTACCAGAAAAATGTCATTCTTTTTATGGCTGAGTAACATTCCAATGTGTATATATACCACGTTTTCTTTGTCCATTCATCTGTTGAAGGACACCTAGGTTGGTTCCATAGCCTAGCTATTGTAAACTGAGCTACTGTAAACATTGATGGGGCTGCATCACCACAGTATGCTAATTTTATCTCCTTTAGATACATACCAAGGGGCTGGGATATGGCTCCGTTGGTAGAGAGCTTGCTTTACGTGCACAAAACCTTGGGTTCAATCCCCAGCAACACACCAACACACACACATACACACACACACACACACACACACACACACACACAAAGATATATACCACGGATTGGTATAACTGGATCAAATGGTGGTTCCATTCTAAGTTTTCTGAGGAATGTCCATACGGCTTTCCAGATGGTTGCACAAATTTGCAATCCCACCAGCAATGTTTGGGTGTACCTTTTACCCACATCCTCACAAACATTTATTGTTCCTTGTATTTTTGATTGTTGCCGTTCTGACTGGAGTGAGATGAAATCTCAGTGTAGTTTTAATTTACCTTTCTCTAATTTCTAGAGATGTTGAACATTTTTTAATATATCTGTTCACCATTAGTATTTCTTCTGTTAAGCGACTGTTCAGTTCCTTATGGATTAGATGATTTGGTTTTTAGTGTTTTTTTTTGAGTTCTTTATATATCCTGGAGATTAATGCTCTAAATGGCAGGTGGCAAAGATTTTCGTCGATTCTGTAGGCTCTCTCTTTACGCTCTTGATTCTTTCCTTTGCAGTGAAAAAGCTTTTTTAGTTTGAAACCATCCCATTTACTGATTCTTTTTTTTTAAGTTGTCAATGGACATTTATTTATTTAGATATATACCAAGGGGCTAGGATATAGCTCAGTTGGTAGAGTGCTTGCCTTACATGCATAAGGCTGAGAATCGAACCTAGTACCTCACACATGCCAGGCAAGTGTACTACCACTGAGCCACAACCCCAGCACACTGATTCTTGATTTTACTTCTTGCATTTTAGAAGTCTTGTTGAGGAAGTTGGTTCCTAAGTCGACATGATGGAGAGTTGGAGCTACATTTTCTTCTAGGGGCTTAGGGTCTCTGGTCTAACACCTAGGTCCTTGATCCACTTTGAGTTGAGTATTGTGCAGGGTGAGGGAGATTGTGATGCCTCCTCTTTCATTTTCTCTCTGAGGATTGCTTTGGCTATTCTGCCGTTTTATTTTTCCAAATGAATTTTATGACTGCTTTTTCTATTTTTAATTTTTTTAATAATTGTAGATGGATAGCATGCCCTTATTTTATTTGTTTGCTTTTTTTTTTCTTTAATGTGGTGCTAAGGATTAACCCAGTGCCTCACACATGCAAGGCAGTGTTCTGCCACTGAGCTACAGCCTCAGCCCTGCTTTTTCTATTTCTATGGAGAACGTCATTGGAATTTTAATAGGAATTGCATTAAATCTGTATAGGGATTTTGGTAGTTTGACCATATATATGTTATACATGGACACAAAGTCTTTATTTTGGGCTGAGGATTGAACCCAGTGCCTCCCATGTGTGAGGCAAGCTCTGCCACTGAGCCACAGCCCCAGTGTGGCCATGTTGACTACACTAATCCTACCTACCAAGAACATGGGAGGTCTTTCCGTCATCTATGGGAGGTCTTCTTCAACTTATTTCTTTAGTGTTCTGTAATTTCCATTGTAGAGGTCTTTCACCTCTTTTGTTAGATTGATTTCCAAGTATAATAATATTATTTTTTTAGTATAATATTATTTTGAAGCTATTGTGAATGGGGTAGTTTTTCTAATTTCTCTTTCAGCCAATTCATCATTGGTGTACAGGAAAGCAATTGATTTATGGGTGTTGATTTTTTTTATTCTGTTACTTTTACAGTATTTTAATAAAATGTCTTAATAAAAAGCACAGGAAGCTACAAAACAGTCACTTGTTCTATACAAAAGTACTTGTATTCTTTAGAATAAAATACAATTCAAAATTATCTAGACTCCCAAAACTGTATTTTTGTTGTTTTTTGAAATTGTAGGGTAAAATGGCAACAGGAAACATCAGTCATAAAGAAAAATCAGTTGAAATAAACCATGAAATTGCTCACCATATTAATAAACTACCAAAGCAAGAGGATTCTAAGAGGAAAAATGAAGGTAATTTTAACAACTTTAGCAGGTCCTGCTTAGGGCTGTGGGTCTAGCTCAGTGGTAGAGTAGTTGCTTGCCATATGTGAGGCCCTGGGTTTGATGATCCCAAGTACTAAAAATAAAAGTCTCCTTTATTCTTACTTGATTGTTTTTGAACTGTGAATTACTACAGATGTGTATAGAGGCACACACACAACAAAAAGAGTTTGCAGAATCAATCCAAGGAGCACCTTATACTCAGTACATTGGTTAAGTGTAGAAGAGGGTTGAGAGAATATAGCTTGGTGGTAAAAGGTATGCCACGAGGCCTTGGGTTTAAGTCACAGCACCAAAAAAAGAAAGAAAAGAGAACATTGGCACTTGTTAGAACACCCCACGGGCCCTTCACAACCAAAGCCCTTGCCCGCCCACCACAAAGGACCGCCATCTTGGGTAATTTCCTTGCAATCTCTCTCAGCTCCCTGTGCTGCGTGTGTCTGTTAATCCACTTGGGTTGCCAGAGAAAGTACCATCACCTGGTGGCTTGAACAACAGACATTTATTTCTCACAGTTCTCGAGGCTAAGAAGTCCAAACGGAAAGTTCTGACCACTTGGTTCCTGGCCTGCAGAGCCATCTTCTCACCACATCTCCATTTGTTCTCTGCTCAGCGCCTGACTGGAGGAGGCCAGGAAGAGCGCCAAGGCCCTGGCTTCTTCTTAGGTCATCATCCCAACACCAGGCCCGCCCCATCCTTAGTACTTCATTTAATCTTAATTATTCCCTAAAAGGCCCCTCAGGGCTGGGGATGCAGCTCAATGGAGGTGTGCTGGCCTGGTTTGTATCACACCCCAGTCTTGGGGGAAGGGGTGGGCGGGGAGCTCCATGTCAGATACAGTCCTACTAGAGGTTGGGGCTGCATCGGATGAAATTGGTGGATAAGGGGAAATATAATCATCAACCCATAGCAGTATATCCTTCCAAACAGAAGTGTTCAGCTTTGAACAACTGAGTCCAAATCTAGCTGATTAAAGGGCAATATTTCCAGGAAAAGATGAGCTAAACAGAGCCCCAGCTTCAGCTCCCCAGAATGAACAGGGGCTCCATAAGCAGGCGAGGGCATGAATTGTTCTTGGAGACAGAAAAGCCATCAGAGGAAGAGCCTCTGCCAGGACAGGTGAGGTGAAAGCCACAGGGCGATGTCCTCTAACCTGGACAGGGAAGGGCCAGAGGGGCGAGGGAATGGGCTGCTCAGAGCGTCCAGCCCTAAGATCACCAAAGCTTACCTCCAGCTTTCAGGAGGCCGCCAAAGGAGAATGCTTCTGTGGGTGCAAGGAGAGGCCGCAGGCTGCAGGGGACAGTGGCAAGTGCAGCACTCATCAGCCATGGACGAGGCAGGCCAAGACCCTGACGTACCTGGCACTGGGCCCTGGGGACAGTATGGAGCAGGGTCCTGGTCTATCTCTGCCTCTGGGTGCATGGCTGGGATCTCCTTGATTTCCTGCAGGCTTCTGTCACCACCTTCTCTACCAGATCTTCTGTTTCTCAAACCAGGTCCTCCTCCTCCTCAGTGAGCCCCATTGTGTGTTAAAGAGCACAGCCCAGCCTCCAGGAGCTCCTTGAGGATGGGTGGAAGGTAAACCTGTTCCCTTCATCAGGAAATGTCATTACTCCATGAGTATATTTGATTAATAATCACTTGGAAAGAACATTCCAGGCTGGAGATCATTTTCTTTTTGAATTTTGAAAACATTACTCCCTTGCTTTTGCTTTATCACTGCTAACATGCTATCTGGCTGAAATTCTGCAAGGCTGGGCAAAAATAATTTCTGGGGAAAGAACAGTGAACTATTTGCACAGACCACTTGGGGCTCCCTCAGAGTAGAGAGCCCTTGCTCAACACATCAGGCACTCCACAGACCCTGCAAGGCCCACACCTTAGTTGTGGGGCTAAAGAAGGTTTAAATCACACAGTTTGTCAGTCCCTGTCTGCAGTGTGGTGGACACTGATTGTCATCTGCACTTTCACTGTGGTCACTGCTCTACTAACATCTTGCGTTTATTTTTTAAATTTATATGTGTAATTCATATTGTCCTAGAAAGTTTATTCATTCAAATGACAAATTCTATTTGGGCCTATAGTATGCGCCTGGCACTGTTCCAGCCACTGGGAAGGGAGCAGTGAACAAATGCAAAAGACCCAGCCCCAGGCCAGCGGTGCAGGCCAGCGGTGCAGCCAGTGCTGAGTACGCAGGGAGCCCTGGGTGCAACACCCAGCACCCAAAGGAGAAAAAGATAAACACACTGCCCTGCGGTGCTCACACTGTGGCGTGGGAACCACTTTCCCTGTCAGCTCACATCACCGACTCATTCTTCACAGTAGCCCAGAATCCACAGACACATGACAGGCTTGATTAACCACCACTCCTCTGACAAGTCTGTAAACCGTGTCACAGTCAACATCTCGCTACCTCCTTTTGTGCATTTCTATAGGCTTGGTCCTAGAAGTGAGGTGGTCAGGCCTACGAGTGTGTGCACCAGGAATGTCACTGGACACTGCCAAGTTGCTGTCCAGTGAAGCTCTACCAATGACACCCCTGCCAACTGGAAATCACATGTCAACTGGATGTGTGAAAAGTGTTCTCCTTGTTTAAACTGGCACCGCTTCCAGCTAGTGTTGTCAAACATCTGTTAGTAACTTGTCAGCAAATTTTGTCCATGAATATCATTTTTATTTTGGTTTCATGATTTCCATTTATTTGGGATCTCATAGGAAAGTAAGACTTTTCAAGAGGGTCAATAGAAGACACCCTTTCTGTGTTGTAGGATCTGTTTTCTTCCCTCTGCGGTGGTGCCAGTGTGCTTGTCAGAAAGGGTCAGTGCACCAACACGCATCTTGAAAAAAGAATCCCCTGATTTTAAAGGGCACTGCCTTCTCTGCTTTTCCAATACAGATTTACCAAAGGAAGAAGAACATTTGGAAATACAAGCGCCTCTGGAGAATACTGGAAGACAGAAAGAGAAAAAGGAAGATCAAGAAAAGAAAACCATTTTGCAAGAACAAGAATTACCAACAAAAAGAATCCCAGTAATTCACCCTGAAAGAGAAAGCAGTCCGGGAGGTGAGCCGGGAGGTGAGCCGGGAGGTGAGCCAGTGAAGGACAAGTTCAAACCCATTATGCCGACGACGCAGGACAGCGTGCAAACGGCCGACCAGGCGCCCGAGAGGTGCAAGTGCGCTCCTCCCAGCTCCAAGCTGGCCTGCAGACAGCGTAAGCACTACTCCTTCTCTGAGGCCACCGAAAACCTGCACCAGGGGCTGCCCGCGGCGGGTGGGCACTTGGACACGGGCAGCACGCGGTGCTGGCACAGCTCCAGCAGACACCAGGGCAGCACAGAGGACGGGAAGCTGGTGAGCAGGTACGAGCCCTCCTTCGGAAAGTCCTCCAGAGCGAAAGCCAAAGACACAAGCTTCAAAGAGAAGAAGAGCAACCTCATGGAAGAGCTCTTTGGGTCAGGCTGTGTCTTAAAAAATGACCAGATCAGTCCAGCTGCTGTGGACAGATCCGAGGAGGCTCTGAAAAATAAGGCGGCACACCACGTGCCTCCAGGTCAGGCCTGCGCAGGCAACACTTTCGGAGATTCTAACCTGACTGTGGTGGATTCTATCCAGTCATCTTCACCTACAGAAGGAAAAAGGAAAGTAATGAAGTATAATCAGTCAATATCCTGATATGTGCTTATGTCACATGCTGCTGCTCATGTGCTTCTAATCTCACCATTCCTAACAGGAGAGGTTGTGTGTGTTAGTACTTAAATTGACCTCAGAGCTCATTTTTAAAATCCATTGTATATTATCCAATGGTAACATTTAAAATATAAGTTTACATCTATTTTTCTAACTTATTTTTTGAAGCCGGGTTTATTACACAGCTTTAGTATTCCGTGGACTCCTGGCTGCTGCCCTCTAGTCATTGTGTGAGTACAGAAAGTTATAAGGAAACATTAGAATGCTACTTTTAATCTCTGAGGAATAAAATTGTGGCCAACTTTAATTTTTTTAGTGTTCTCTACTTTGGCTTTCTTTTCATGTTTCCTGTCATGAATAAAACTTTACAATCAAGAAAAAAATGATTTTTTAAATAAAAACAGATTCATCACCTGAGGATGCATATCTACCTTCTGATAGAGAAGGTACTCGGACACTCATGCTGTAAAAGAAAAAGAAAAAAGGGGGGAAAGAAAAGAAGCTAAAGATGCACAGAAGAGGCCAGAAGTCAACGGGTCAGCCCCAGACAGGTGGGGGCGAGCACCAAGCGG